GCTGCGCAAAAGGGGTCGGACACAGGGCGCAGGTCATGCTAAGAGCTAGAAGAGGAGATAGAGAGAACAACCACCCTGTCCCGTTATTGCGTACACCAACACCACAAAACGCTCTCTCTCTCTCCTGTCCTCACTCAGGGGGGTCACAACTACCAAGTCCCTCGACTAGCTGCCACAGGGCGCAGCTGCCACAGGGCGCAGCTGGAGACGCTCTCCCTCAATCGGCATCCACCCCCACCCGCTCCAGCCCCACTTCTGCTGCCGAGAGAGCTGAATCGAAGCAAGCGAGCCGTTGCATCTTGGCCACGAGCACGGCGGAGTCGGCGTCGTAGCGCGCATCGTTCCCGCTCATCGCCCATTCCTCCCACGTGACGTGTGTCGGCCGCGATTCGATGTCGCCACCTTCATCGCCAACGAGGACTCCCTCGACTGCAGGGGGCTCCGGCGCGGGGAGGGACTCCGCCTGCTGCGCTGGCCGACCGCGCCCTCCTCCTCCATGGGCTCGATCCGAATCCGCAGCGTGTCGTCCCCAGCGACGGTGTTGCGCGGGAGGCGGCCGCGGGCACGCTGGGCTCGATCAGCGGCTTTCCCTCAGTTGCTCCGAAAGCACGGATTTGGCGGCCGTTCTTGGCTTCAATTTTACGAATGTCTTGGCACCAGCTGAAGGCTTGCGTCCCACATCGCCGGATTCGTGCACGGTATTCGGATTTTGCTATTTGTTCGTGTGGGGGTATATTGCAGATTTGTCAATGGTACCGCGTCTGCGACGCGGGCGCCTTGCGAGCAGAGCCCTTAGGACACCCTTTATATCTTGCGCGGTCAAAAGAAAACACGCCGCCCCCACGGGGAGATGTCAGCGTGCTGGCGGCTCTGTATCAGGTGCAAAGGAAAGAGTGGGCTGAACATAAGCACCAAGGCGGGCATCAAGGCCACAAGCCGACAAGGGCCGCCCGGGGCGTGCACGTGATCGTGTGCGAATGGTGCGAAACCGACGTTGGTGCCGACTGCCGAGCGAGCGTCAAATCTGCACTTGTGCGCTTTTCTTTACTATCTATCCCCGGCCAACAGCCAAGCGGCCGTAATTACCTGTGTGATACCTGTACTAGACCCTCAACAGTAGAATCTCCACAACTACATGGAGGCCACCCCTTATCCCCTTTCCCGTGCTACCGTCCCGCATGCGCCTCGTGCCACTCGCCAATCTGCCGCCGAAGCGTGTGGTTGGGGATCAAGATGCTACGCTCGAGCTCGCCGCCCGTCAGAGGGCTCGTCGACTTGGTCGCGAGCCAGCGCTCGATCGCCGACCGCTCGTACGAGTGCCCGTCCGCCGCCATCACCGGGTCGCTCATCACCTCGGTCGTGATCGGACAGACAAAGTCGTGCGGCGGCTCCGCCTCCCTCGGAGCCGACGCCTCGGCAGCCGAAGAGGACGACCCTTGATCGAGCCTTGCAGACGCCTCGTTGTAGCTCGCTGCCGCTTCGGCCGCGGCAGCCGCCGCTTCGGCCTCGCATGCAGTCCGTGCAGCCTCGGCAGCAGCTGTCGCCGCCGCAGCTGCCTCAGCTGCTTGCTCGCAATCCGTGGCCAAGCTCACCGCGGCTGCTGCCTTTTCTGCCGCTGCCGCCGCCCTCTGCGCAGCCTCCGCCGCCTTCTGCGCCGCCTCCGCCTCCGCCGCCTCTGCGGCCACCGCCGCCTCCCGTGCACGCACCGCCTCGCGCTCAGCTCCACCCTGTGCTTCGGCGGCGGCCCGGTGTGCGGCCGTCGCGGCTGCTGCACGCTGCGCTGCGGCAGCGGCCTTCTCGCTCTTTGCTGCCCGCTCCGCCGCCCGATCGAGTGCCGAACGCTCTGCGGCGCGCTCAGCCGCCTCGCGCACTGCCGCCTCGAGCGCTGCCCGCTGCTCCGCCTCTCGTTGTGCTCTCCTCGCCTCCCTGCTTCGCTCGCGCTCCTCCCGCTCCCGCTGCTGCGCCGCCCTCTCCGACTCCGCCCTCTCTGCCGCCTCCCTCTCTGCCGCCTCCCTCTCTGCCGCCGCCCTCGCTGCTGCCGCCCTCTCTGCCGCGCCCCTCTCTGCCGCCGCCCTCTCTGCCGCCGCCCTCTCTGCTGCCGCCCTCTCCGTCTCCGCCCTCTCCGACTCCGCCCTCTCTGCCGCCGCCCTTGCCTCCGCTGCCCGCGCCTCCGCTGCCCGCGCCTCCTCTGCCGCCCTGGCCGCGGCCTCGCTCTCTGCTCTTGCTGCCTCCGCCGCCCGCGCCTGCGCTCGTGCCTCCTCCTTCTTCTCCTTCTGCCTGGCCACCTTCTGCGCCTTGGCCGCCCTCCGCTGTGCCTCGGCCAACTCATCCCGCCGCCGCCGCGCGT